ACTGAATGCCACAGTGTTAAATGGCATCCAGTGGTTTAATAGCAGCAGCATGAGCACGCAGTTTGTCTCCATGATCTAATGTAGTTATTATAGTGGGTTGTATAATGTTGTTTTCTGTTTTGAAGGGAGAGAGAGAAAGGTTGTGGTATAAGAATCCATAAGAATTCTTTATATTTTCAGATTGGGAATAACTGAGGTCTGTGCTCTTGTGAAATGTATATACTTAGTCTTTCAGAACAAGCTTTCTGAAGGTTGTGAAAAGCAGACTGTAACCTGGAGAATGTCTGGTTTAAACAAAGTTTCAGGGTCTAGAAGTCCTCAAATCAAAATCAAATGAATCACTAAATTGAGTTGATAACGCATCTGTGAGCATGGCAGAAAGTGATCAGAAACCTGGATAAGGTGCTACAATATCCTGGTGTCTATTGGTGTACTCCGGCTAGTTTATCCAGGTTTCTGAAACTAGGATATGATGTTTACTGTACAGGTATTTGTATCGGCTCTATTGAGCACAAATCATGAGCCTGATCTTTTGTTTTAATACGTGCAAAAGGTTCTGAAATTGGTCCAGTAGATTGCCTCAGCTGGCAGCCGTGAAACAGACTTCAATGGCTAATCCTTGCTGGCAAATGTGCCCCTCAAAGTTCGTCCACCAAAAGTCTCCCACACTATTGCCAAAAACCAACGCTGCACTAAGTGGAAGTGTGATGACAAGAGCCATAAACATTGTTTTAGTTAGATGCAGGGAATTATTTTGCTTTATGCTTACTGTCAATGGATTGATTTTAATAACAATTTACAGGGAAAAACAGCTGCACTGTTTTCCTCAGATAAATGTGTTCCAGCCTGCACTAGCCTGTACAGTGGTGCAGTGGCCACCGCAGTGCTAATGCAGGGGAGATGCAGGATAGATATAAGGGAGTTCAGAGACAGCTATCACAGGACTTGTTAGACATGTGTTAGAAGACAGAGAAGGTTACACACAGTTAATCTGATTCAGTATAATGCAACAGTGGTTTTAAAATCCTCATCCTGTTGCCATCAGGTGGTACTCGCTAAAGCTAGGGCTTTGAATTGCGTATCAGCCGTATTTAGATGTGTGTCGTTCTCATGGATTGGGGACAGGGAGACAGTGTGTTACTGAGACTGAGGGAGTTTCCCCAGGGACCAGAAGGGCCAACGAGTACCAACCCCCTGCTTTTCTCCCAGGCTTGTCATGGACGCTCACATCTTTGCTGCCCTCACTACCAGAAGGGCAAAAATAGATACAAGTATTTATTACTTATTAGGCAGGTTTGTAAGTTCTTTATTTGGTTATTTTCTGATTACGTCTAGGATTCCTCTCACAGTAGATAGTGTGCAGTGGTCAGTCTAAGTCTGTGGAGGGTTGGGACCAGTGCATTCGGATGCAGAGGCATGGACACTGGCAAAATTAACACATTAAGAAGATGTCAAAGTCTTTCAGATTACCATTAACCATCTGTCAGGGGAAATCTAGGGAAGTCTGTCTACAGGGACTTGATAATGAATCCCCATCTGGGCCTGTGTGCTGTATGAGTGCTTGCATGTCTATGAGTACTCGCTCTGTTAATGTCCCTCCTATACAGTAAGCCCACTGTGTCAGCTCTCAGCATCTGTCCATACACTCCTTTAATGCTTTGGCTTGTTTCTCACATGGTTGTCCATGTGTGTGAGAGTGTTGTACCAACCATGCTGTTTGTTAATCTCTCAGGATGAGAGATTGATGGCCAGCATCAGCCACATTTAGCTTGTCACAGTGCAGTATAGCACATGACTCCTGTGCTGTTGTTTACAGTGTAGTGTAGCACTCTTCAGTTTTTGAAGAGCAGGGCCTTTATTTTTCTGTTAATTACATTTTTAAGAGGTATTTGTTGTCACAAAGAGGCTACAGATTTTGATTGAAAAGCTGCTGATTTAAATCCTGCTGACTGGTTGAGCAAAGCTGCTTGGTGATGAATGATTTTATTATACTACTGACATTTTCTCCACTCTTGTTCTTTTTCAAGACAGGTTTAGCACATCAGGTTTAAACCACTCAGCGTTAGACAAAATGTTGAAAGAATACATCAACATGCATGTGCATTTTGACAACAAGACACAACATGAAAACTGTACCTCTTAAGGGCTCTGTGTCACCAGAAAGTGGCACAGCTCCTCTTCACGAAATATGCAGTCCTAGACGAAGGGCTAGGGGGAGTTGGTGAGCTAAAATGCTGGCAAGCTGGGAATATGCTAGCACTAGTCAGTCTTGCATTTTGTTCTCAGGATTATACATGATTTAATTTAATAAAAATGTACACCATTGAAGAGAGAGGTAAGAATCTGTACCAGCCCTTAGCTATATAGTCACTGAAGAGGTCTCTTTTATACTGTTATTTGATTGTTCAGCAGTCTTAACTATATATTACTTGTTAAATGAATATAGGCCCATTTGTTCATTTCTTTAAAGCCCTTATAATTAGATAGATTATTGAGACATTTGAATAATGGTAAGAAGTATCATGTTATATCTCTTGTTGTCAAAACATATTATTTTATATTTTAATGCTGAATAATTATTTGAGATTGCCACCAGGTCTATTTAAGGCTGTATTTGATATTTAAACTGCAACAAGACCCAATTGTGGTCTAAACATTGGTTGTGGCATAAAATATTTAGAGCTTAGTGTGTGGTAATCTTTGTCCCACTGTACGAAATAAACTCCTCTGATGTGCTGGTTTGTGTTTCAATCACACGAAGTGCAGTGAAGGACATCCTTGTCAGATTATTCTGGCAAACCATGCGATATGGAACAAAAACTGAATGGGCTTTTAATGTGCCTCCTCGTACTCACAACCTATTGTATGTGATTAAGTATGTGTATGTGACACGGTCTCAGTTTATTCTAAGTAGAGGATGTAGTGCCCAAGGCCTTATTTCACCAGGATTAGGATGATTGTGGCTTCTGTAGGACAGATATCTACCTATCTATCTTCCAAGGATGGATCTTTTAGTCTTTGTCATCACTTTCTAAAATAAATAGACACTGATCTTTACAGTGTTGACGTACAGTATAATGATATATATATATATATAACTTGTCCATTCACACTACTGCTTTCTCTTGTGTAGTGTAGTTTCAGGAAATGAGAAAATAAAATAAGAACAGACTGAACAAGCTAATGAAACAGACACAAGGGTCAAAATAAAAAAAGGAAACTCAATTTAACTTGGAAAACATTAACATTTCTTCCAAAATAATACACAAATAATATAAAACATTTGTTCATTCAGAAGATCATAGTGGTTCATTGTGTTTATTCCTTTTATAACAATCATAGATGAGGCCAAGACGGCAGGTAATGTTAAAAGTTGTTTTATTGGTTGGTACCAGTTGGTTTGCTTACAGACGGCATGACGCAAGTGCAAGAAAATTATTAGCATCAGAATATATGTAAAGCACATTTCAGAGTAATATATATTTAACTATTGATGCATTCATGTGTAAGTATCACTGTAAGGCTAATTATAACTATTTTATACCCTGGTGGGTAGCTTAATCTGTAATAATACATCATAATGTATTAATGATTATATTTATATTATTAATGTGCAAAGTAAGTAGTAACTATAGCTGTCAGGTAAATGTAGGGGAATAAAACCAACAAGATTTAACTCTGAAATGCAATGGAGTAAACGTATAAAGTAGCAGAAAATATCTCAAATTGTACTTAATTACATTCCATCATTGCTTAATACCAGCAAGGTAACATCAGTAAATGTGTGCTAAGAACAACAAAGCAACTCAGGCGATGTGAAAAATAACACTAATGACCTAATGCAGGACAGGTACACAGCCAGGAGACCTGCAGCATATTCACTGAGGACGTCTAGAGGGCAGACAACACATGATCCAAATGATAAACTCTAGACGCCACACACACACACACACACACACACACACACACACACACACACACACACAGAGAGACTGGAGAGGGACAGAGGCAGGAGAACAGGCAGAAGGTGATGGAGGAGGCGTCACCATGACAACTTTTTGTTCTGGTGTTCATGGCGTGCAACCACAGGAAGCCATCTCTCTATAGCAAGGCTAAAGCTGTCGATATCGCTGTCCACTGGCTTAAATGATCGCGACTGGATAAATGCAGTGTTGTCCTCAGTGTTAATAAGGGTTGGTTTATCAGTGACGCATATTTTGAGTTGATTGGAGAGTAGTCGGTCCACTCATGCAGTTGATATGTCTCCAGAGGGTTCAAAAGAATCGAAAAGAGCTCAAATGACTCTTGATTGGTGCTGACATGCAGACACACACCACGGCTTGTAGTGTTCAACTTCATCCGAACTGACAGTATTTGTGTGTGAACATTTTAATTTTGCGGGGTCAGAAGTGAAAAACGACCGGCCCCTCTTTCATTTTTCAAGGTCAGAGCTATTTATAGCGTGGAGTAACCAGAAGAGCACTATGTTGCATCCATTAGCACCAGTCCCTGTTCTCCTGTCTTTGCCGGAGGTGTGGGTGGCGGAGCATTCACACGATTTAAGGCTTATTACAATGATGCATTCTTGTTAAAAACCATGACTCAAAAACTGTGTAATCCGTCACTCAGCAGATGAGCGCTGTTTTATTCAAATTACGTTTGGCTGCCTATTGTTGCCATGGTGACAGTAAGTGGAAGTTAGCCTTATAATGTTGAGTTTCTGTGTGTGTATTTGAGGACACATCCTCCCACTAGGCAGGGGGGGTGCTCTCAGTGAGCTCTTACGTAACAACTTGTAGCATTTAGATGAAATATGGATTTTGCTTCAGCGAGGACAAAAAGGCTCCTTAGACAGACATCAGCGTAATGATTATTAACACTGATTAAGCAGTGTCCTATGTGACTCATGTGTCACCCCTCTATGCACAATGTGCTAACCTTGTACACTTTATATGTTATTGTATGTTCACACTCTTTGTCTGTGTGTTTGTCCCTTCTAGAGAACCGATGAGGAGGCAGTGGTGGACCGCGGGGGCACTCGCTCCATGCTCAACACCAACTTTGAGAAGGAAGAACTAGAAGGTAACAACCAAATGTGATAATTAACATTTACATTACACAGTTAAGGATAGTTTTAGTAGAGAAGATTTAAGAAAATGGGCTCTCCAGAGGCACAGTTGACATTATTCAACAGGTTGACCTCCCTCAAACTGAGCTTTATGTGTAAAATTAGTGGAGTGCCCTTTCAATGAAATGCAGTAAGACACAAAAACACCATTTACAAACAAGCTATTATTGGTATTCTTTGTATTTTCAGCCCCATTTTGTTGTGTGGAAGTATATTTACTTTCCCCTTTGTACTCAAGCTTAACTTAACCTATCGATTGCAGACGTTTAATAGCAGAAAATCTGTCTGTCCACCTGTCTAAATCCTTACAAAGGAATATTTGGTTTTCATGTTTTGTCTTTTGGCATCAAAGAGTGAGGGCTTTATTCTCTGCACATATGTGTGCATCAGCATTTCATCCATCATAAAAGAGACAGAGCGCAACATCCTCCCATCCTTTTTTCTTTATTTTAAAGTTTAAATGAATAAAAAACATTAAAAAAAACAACGTATGGTAGGTAAAAATAAAGGTAAATAGTTCAAAAAAAGAATAAACAAACAGGAACAGGAAGTATTACAAATAAGGATAATTGAAAGCATTGTTGTTCACAGAAGTTTCAATAGTTTTAATCATTGACAGCAGTGTATAATTAGTGGAATTATGTGATCCAAGTGGGATTTTTAAATATAATGTATTTATTATACCAAATAATATATACTTGTATGGATCCAGATCACTCAGTAAACCTGCCTCTTAGATCAGGCCCCAGGATGCACTGCAGCCACATGACATATTGTTTGTGTTATAGTACTATAAGTGGCTCTTAGCTGGATCATTTGCACTTACTATTGCTGCTACTATCTCCCCACCTACGCGTGTAACCCAGCTGAGCTGAAGTTCAGGCATATTGTCTGGGAGTTCTTGAAAGCTACTTTAGGAAACACCGGAGATAACAAACAGAGACGGGAGTATGGAAGGCAAGCTGAGGGAGAGTGGGGACAATAAATTACAATAGTTCATTAGAGAATAACTCCATGAAAGTGCTGAAGGTGACAGATGTATCACAGATGATGGGTGTAACTTGTGAAGTGGGTTTACTGGATGGTACTTTTTGTTTTTGCCAGCCACACAACTGGATTTATGTGTAAGTCAAAAAAGTATAATATGAGAGAAAGGAGAAAATAAAAAGAACCGTCCAGAGAAAACAACATACTAATTCGGTCCCATGTAGTTAAAACACAAGTTATAAGTGAAGCAGAATTGGTTTCACCATCAATATCCGCTGTAATTTCGTTGCCAGGCAACGTACGCCCAGGCAGCCGGCAGAGATGTCACTCTTTGATTCTGACACTCTGCCGGTGAGACGGTGCTTTTATCTCAAGGACCCTCATCCTGGAATGATGGTTGCCGTAATGACTAGCTCTCTTTCTGTGCTGTGGTAATGCTGTCAGTGCGTCAGCACCACGCAGGAGCCGGGGATCCTCTGAAGTTATCTCGGCCCTGTCAGCGCCAGCACTCACCTGCTTCCTCGTTCTCATACACTCACATTTCTGATAAAAGGAAAAGGTTAGCATGACATGACTGGTTTCCATTGTGATTCCATGTGGATTTAAAGGCCTGTTCAGACATGTAGTAGATGTCTGAATTATGTTAAAAAAGAAACAGCAGTAGTAAGTCTGATGGTATTCGATATTTTTCTTACTGTTGACAAATCCCATGAAAAGATCAAAACCAACCATAAATGTATGACACTAACCAGTATTGTCTGATAGTTTGTGGAGCCAAAGCCTTATTATATAATATATCGACCAAAACTAACAATGTATTAATCCTACAAACTGATTGTGTGTGTGTGTGTGTGTCAAAGCCTGATAAATCTCATTCTTCTGTGCCATAGAGCTCATTTATTGTCCAAAAACTATGAAAAACATGTCAGGGAGCCACACTGTTGCACTAGGTGACATGTTCCTTCATTACAATGAACGCACACAATGTATTTTTTTTTACTCAGTTCCGCATTCACTGTCCTGCCTACAGAAATACCCTCTAGAGCACCAAATATGGATTAATCCGCCGCTGAAAATAGTCCCTAACAAACTGCAAAAACTACTATTTTCTTCTGTTCAAGTAACTTTTGATAATAACTACAGTGACAAGCTGCTTTAGGAAATAGCTATAACTATATATAGAAGACTTACAGACTTGCAAAAAAAATATCATCAATGATCCTAAATAAGAATAATAGATAATAGACTCCTGATATGAAGTTTTGCTTGTTCCATAATTGTATTGGTCAGAGTAGTTTTTACCACAGCCACTTTCCAGAGATCAAAATATATGTATTGTTCAATATTTGAATATAAATTCTGTGTGTGCCCATGGTAATACATTTATTACAACCCACAGTAAGTGGGCTATCTAAATCTATATTTTTGTCACCCGGATTGTCCATACTGTAATTATACTCTGTTGATCAATTCAGTACATATGACATCTACTGGATGTCTCTCCATCCTAAAGGAATATCTCCTCTGTTGCTCTTCCTGAGGTTTCTTCCATTTTTGAGGAGTTTTTCCTTAATCTGAATTGAGGGTCTAAGGATAGAGGCTGTTGTATTCTGTAAAGATTGTAAAGCCCCTTTAGGCAAATTTGTGATTTGTGACATTGGGCTGTATAAATAAAACTGACTTGACTCGACTCACTTGACTAACTGCAGAATTAATTTGGAACGAACGGTTGTGTGAAGAGAAGGCTCAAACCCCCAGCCAATCAGCTTTGTGCACCAGTGCATACATAAATACACACACACACAAAGACTTAAGAATATGCAACGCCAAAACTCAGCACGTCACACACCACTGCATGAACTCAAGCCATGACTAACTGAAAGCCACTGGGACGTGGCGACAGAAGAGAAGAGAAAAGACTTTCTATGACATCAGCAGTAGTTCGGGCCTGGGGGAGATGAGCTATTTTTGTGAAGTCCTCCACTCAGGAGTCTTGACTCATTAACTTTAAAGCTCTCGTGCTCCATCCTTATGTTTTTCTCCCTCAGATACCTCATTGTTTCTGTCTGCTGGAATTTGCCTTTTATTGTGAAATTTGCTTTATGTGCGAAGTCAGCCTCTCCTCTTCCCTCTGCGTCTGTGACATACATAATTTACACGATGCTAACAGCAATTTGCTTCGGATGAATGCGTCTGCAGCAGTATACACTCTGACAGAGTCAAGTACACTCCCAAACGGCAAGTACGTTTTGACATATGGGTAGTTTTCTCATTATGTTTTCTCAGACCTGAGTTTACTTCTCTCTGCATTTTCTGTTCTGGAAGATATTGAGTGAGTGGCTCTTCTCAAATGCAATGATGTCATTGTGCTCTTAGGTGATTCATGTTATGTCTGTGCTTTGCTTAAATCTCATTAGTGTGCCATGATGTGATTAGTTGTGTCTCCAAGCAAGTGAAAACAATTTAAGGCATTCACGTGGCCGGGATATTTTCCCATCAGACTGAATGAAAAAATACTGAGATTTCTCAGTGCAACTCTGACAGAAATAAATAAAATAAGCTAATTTATTAGGATTTAACTTTGAAGGCAAGAGGGGTTCCCGAATGTTTCTCTGTTCTAAATTAGATTTAAAGACATAGGATTTGTTTCAGAAGTGGAAGGGCACAAGTAATATAAATGTTATTTTATTTTTTCATATCAAATGTACACCATCAAGTAAGTATTAGATTATTTTATTACTTTATAATGTCAGTATACCAAAAAAAGGCCATAAATTGCTGCATTATAATGCACTAATCCAGTAGTCACCTTGATAGACACCTGATACTTTTTGATAAATGCTGTGAGCGCACGGTAATAACTGAATGTAACTCTTAATATTTGGATCAACTCAGAGCTTCTTTCATCTATACTTTGTTAGTTGAAGGAGTAAAAGGACACGGTTTAGTAAATGACTCAAACAGACCAAAATAGGATTTAGAAAAGTGAGTGGAAATTATACCCTTGATTAGATTACAGTTGAATAAATGCCATGTGGGAATATTTTGGTACATTGTGATTGGATGGCCTGTTCTTTAGCTGTAGTCTTACCAGCAGTGAATAAAGCAAAATGTATTATTCCCAGTTATCCCTTAACAATCTGCCGTTATGCTTTCTCCATGGTAAAAAAGAGGTAATGATGAAATAGGAAACCAATTTATTATCCTCTGATCGACCCCATTCTGTTGCTCCCAAGCATCAAATTGCTCTTGGTGTCACATTATGCTGGTCGCTGTGGCGCCTCATATGGTGGAGGAGGCAGATAAAGTGAACAGGGTGTCCGATAGTCTTGTCTGTGTCCGGCCACTGAGCCGAAGGAAGCAGCAGCCGGGCAGCTCGGCCATGGTCAAGTCAGCTCGGATTATCTTCACGCCGACACTGTGGATGCACGCTTGTGTGCACGTACACGCACAGACATGGACACTTTCGAAATCCCAGACTCATTATCTGTGCTGTATTGATTTAAAATGAAAATACTTGTTGTAAAAGTCCAATTTTAAAAAATCTATTTCAGCTTCTTCAAAGAGGACAACTGGAGACATTATTCGAGACAGCTGCTGGTTCGTTAAGTGCTGCTTTCCTGGTTCCACTCTAACTGACTACACACCTTGCTACTACCTGTTGCTGGGTGTTTTGATAGTTGTTGTTTCACTGCATATTTTTTCCACAGTGTGAGTTTTGGGATACTGACTCAGTCACGCCTACTCTCATTGCTCTCGTTGCCAATATTGCAAGCTACAAGCTCTGAAAGCCTATTATTATTCTTAGCCCGATGATACCTTGTGTGAATTATGGGCGCTACTTCTGGTTGTTTCTTTCACTGGACTGGATCACGCCACTTCTTTTCCTTTTGCATTAATCATGGGTGCAAGCAACAACAATACAGCTGGGATTGGTTTTGTTTGCAATCACTGTTCTAGCATATTGAATGTCTGCAATTTCCCTTTATTATTTATTTTCTCTAATGTACCTTGTCTACAAGCAGCAGAATTTCCTCCCTGCTCCAATTTAGTTTTCTTCTTGTTTCCGTTTCAGACACTTTTTAATTATTCTACCCTATTTATTTATTTATTTGTATAGAAGAAATATATTAGATTGTTGTTGTTGTTGTATTTCACATGTTGATTGCTACAGATGATTACAAATACTTTACACAAATGAATAATAATAAAATGAACTCACGAGTTTAAAGGACAGACAGAAGAATCTAATGTTGTCTACCGAATGTTGTCTCCAGGCCACCGCACTCTCTACATCGGGGTTCACGTTCCCCTGGGCAGGAGGTCGCACAGACGTCACCGTCACCACGGACACAGACACAGGAAGAGGTCCAAGGAGAGGGACTCGTCAGCTGATGATGGAAGAGAATCCCCCTCACACAGTAGGTCTTCAAAATGGACTGAATCCAACTCCAGCAAGTTTTAATATAGTGAAAATATATGTACAAGTAATTTTTTTATGGAAAATTCATGGAGAGTTCACACCAAAGTTTTACCAAGGCACATCACTTTTTGAATCTTTACCGTTGCGTGCTTTCTTCTTCTCCTTCTTTCTCTACATCCGCTCGTCCTCCGGCTGTCCCATTTGCTGCAGCAGACACACCAGCTCAGAGGGTGCAGTTTCTTTTGGGGACAGAGGATGGCGACGAGGAACACATACCCCACGCCCTGTTTACCGAGCTGGACGAAATCTGCCTCAGGGAGGGCGAGGACGCCGAATGGAAAGAGACAGCCAGGTACACCGCTGCAGTTGGCCACATGGGCTGGGTCTGGCCAGCTGCGACTATTTTCCTCTGTTGCACCTGAGAGTTTGAGCCTTTTTTTTTGCAAAGTACTGTGCTTCTGTCAAACACAAATGTATCATGTCTTTATGTATTTACTGAGTTGTGTTTTTAATGTGTGCAGGTGGCTTAAGTTTGAGGAGGACGTTGAGGATGGTGGTGAACGGTGGAGTAAACCCTACGTAGCCACTCTTTCTCTACACAGTCTTTTTGAGCTTCGCAGCTGCATCATGAACGGCACCGTGATGCTGGACATGAGGGCCAACTCGCTGGAGGAGATTGCAGGTGAACACTTGGGGCTGAAAAGTCTCTTCTGCTCGTGCCTCATCTGAGCAAACAAAAAGTAATGTTCATAAAGCACTGAATGGTTTAGGGGCAAAATACATTTCTAATTTGCCACTACTGTCTGATCCAGATCCTGATCCTGATTCTGACTGTTACTATTACAGAACATGAATTCTTAAAACTAACATTTTCAAGAAGGTAGAGGCCAGGTCAACAAGACTAACACCATGACATGTTAACTTAGAAATTTAGGTTTATAACACTTTGCTTCTTCATGTACAAGCTTGTGGGATCTTTCTAGGAAGGAATAAGGGAACTGTGTTTTAGATTTTGAGGGCAGCAAATAGTGTTTATCTGACTGTGGGAAAAACTGTGCCGCCACAGATCTGTTGAACTTAACCTGGTTTTGTGCGATTAAATCAGCAGCAGTGGGTCGGTTTTTATCGGAATAATCAGCTTAGCATCGCTGGCTGCCACACAGGGAGAGACACTATCGGGAGCAGCCTTTGTGAATTCAAAATGAACTGTTCAAAGTGTAATGTGGCAACCTACCTTTGTGTGTTCCCTTGTATGTGTTTTTACTTCTTAGACATGGTTCTGGATCAGCATGAGGTGTCGGGCCCTGTGGGACAGGATGCCAGGAAGAGGATCCGCGAGGCCCTGCTCAAACAGCACCACCACCAAAACCACAAGAAACTGGCAAACCGCATACCTATTGTACGCTCCTTTGCTGATATTGGCAAGAAGCAGTCTGAACCTCATTCCATGGACAAGAATGGTGAGCAAATGGTCTGAACACCCATGCACACCTACACACACACCTGTCAATTGCCAAGACTACAGTTTGTTCTACAGTGTGTATTATTCTCTGCTTTTTCCATGGTGACCATATATTGTGTTGTATGTAAATATACAGTATGTTTTCATGTATAATCTTGTAATCCTTTGCATGTTTTTTCCAAAGTGTGTCTCATGTCTCATTTTCTCCTCTTGTTTGTGTTTCTCCGTGTTTGTGTCTGTGTTTGTTCTCGTCTGCTGTATTTTGCATGCGTGTGTGTGCATGCGTGTACTCTTAACCAGCAAATGGACTCAATTATCAAACCATAAAATCCCCCAAGTGTTTGCCTGAAAAGAAACCCCCCAAGAATGCTCCACCCAGAAGGGCCTTTCCCTGTGTGACATGGCCACGGTGTGTGTGTTGCGTGTCATGTCTGTCCACTCCCCCATCACCTTCGAGCTCCTCCAGGGGCTGTGGCCACATGACCCCAGAAACGCCCTTTGGCGTAACCAAGACCAAACGTCTTAGCATCCTTCAGGCAGTTGCACAAGGCTACTGTCCCATCACACAGGAAGACACAGAAATCTACACAGGCAACCAGAGCGCCCTTTGGCTTAAGCTGATACTAAACACTAAAAGCTATGAGATAGTAGTAGTAATAGTATACAAATGAACTCATTAAAGGGGAGAGTATCATCATGAGAGGATCGAAATGGGTTGTGTGCAGTCAAGAAGAGAGAGAAATAAAAACCTCTGCATTTTCAAACTCATGCAGCTTTCTCTTCGTGCAATGCTCACAGTCGTGATGTTCCTTCTGTTCTATTTTTGAGACTTAAAAGTATTTTAAGTAGCAGGGTTTTTTTTGTACTTTCAACATCTTAGGAAATCTTTGGGAAAGTGGTAGTCAATCTGCATAATTGTTTATGTAAGTGGCCAAACAGGGCATGTGCAGTGTACCAGTTTTCATGATTATGCTCTCCTCTTTATGACAGTAATGTGTTTGATGACTAGAAACCACAGGACATCTGTGACTCTACACTCATAACAGTCACTAATTACTAATAGTGGTAGCTCCTCGCTTTATATTCATGGTGTAACTTAATAACACAAAATGTATTTTGTCGCCTTTGGAATTGTTATTCAAAGAAACAGTTCAACATTGTGGGAAATATGCTTCACTTCCTTGCAGAGAGTTAGTTATACCACCCTGGTGTTGGTAAATATACTTCTGTCCACTGGCTTTACATTAGCTTCACTGTAGCTTCACAACAGTTATGAACAGACAGCTATGCAAGTGGTATCAATCTTCTCATGTGACTCTCGGCAAGAAAGCATATAACAGTATATTCTAAAGTGTTGAACAATTCTTTTAATTATAGTAATCACACCTTCACTGAAACAGATGACATTTTGAGCAAGCCACATTTTTAGCATTCCCCCCGAGTGCTGTGATTTGCTCAAACAGCTGCAACTGCTGCATTCACGTCACAAATTGCCTGAAATTTAAATTTAAAAGGACCAATCTTTGACTTTGTTTCACCAAAACTAAAACACACTAAATAAGCACCTATTAGTTGATACACTTAAATATGAACTGAAGTTAAAGATTGTGCCTCATTTAAGGTTTAATACACTTGATTTGGAAAGATTGAGCCTAGCTGTAATCACTGTCTCCACTGCCCCACTGAGCTTTCATCAGATGTGTTTACACTCTGAAACACGGTACAATATTGTACCTTTTGTCACTAGGGCTGAACCTTTTCGTCAGTAAAGGTACAGCACCTACAACAAAAGGGTCAACTGTTGTATGATATTTTTCAGAGGATGTAACTATACCCTCTAATCACTCACTGGACACCTTTGTCTTTGTGTGGGAAAGTAGTATTGTGATAGGCTGAGCCTCCGTGAACGTTGACATGATGTTGGTTTCCTGCTCTGCCTGACAGGCCAAACAGTCTCACCTCAGTCCCAGCCTGCTAACAATGAGGGCAAACAGGACGTCAGCCGAGAAAACAGTGCCGTGGACTTCAGCAAGGTGAGCAGCCAGACCCACCACTGATCCCACTGTTTATCTACGGGCACTGATAGCTGGACACAGAACTAGTACTGTATGTTTAACCAAGATTGGGTTACGTGTGAAATGGTCACCGTAAGCCTCTTGCCCTGGGAAACTGACTGGAATTTAACAGGAGTAAAGCTTGTTTTCTTTTGTTGTGTGGACCACCAGAGTCAGATCAGAGCAGATTTTGGACTTTTATCTTGATTATTAACTGTAATAACCACTTTGAATCTCAAATTTATATTTTTTATACTAATCTTTAGTCCAAGGATGTAGTGTTGTTATGGTTTCTCTTCGTCTCACAGATTGACCTCCACTTCATGAAGAAGATCCCTCCTGGTGCTGAGGCATCCAACGTGCTGGTGGGGGAGCTGGAATTCCTAGACCGCCCTGTGGTAGCCTTCATCCGCCTGGCTCCTGCTGTGCTGCTCAACGGCCTGGCTGAGGTTCCCATCACCACCAGGTTATACACCAGCTGGAGTCTCCACTGCTCTCTTTGTTTTTTTCTATCTCTATAGATGAGCTGATAATTCCCCGAGTGCTTCATTAGAAAAGGATTTGACCTTTACCCAAAACTTGTTGTCCCTTCTGTTGCACAGGTTTCTTTTCATCCTGCTTGGCCCTCTGGGAAAAGGTCCACAGTATCATGAGATTGGCCGGTCTATTGCTACCCTGATGACTGATGAGGTAAGTACAACATTATCAAGGCTCAAATTCCAGCTCCAGTGATGCTCTTTTACTCAAAGGTATTAATACAGCAATACTCCATGACAAGTCCAGCATTCAAAATATTACTTAAAGGTAAAAAAAGAATTATTGGCTGAAGTATTAAGAGTTGAAAGCACTTAAACTGAGGAAACACGCACCTTCAGCTGCAGCCATCTGCTGGCAAAATAAAATGAAGAAAACTCCGGATTCAGATGAGAGAAGCAAAGAACCTTACATTTCAATATAAAATGAATGAGCCTATACACATAAATGTCCAACACATCGTCTATTCCTGCAACTGGGAAAATGATTCTGACGCATGAGTAATTTATTTATGTGCTTGTCTCTGTTTTTAATAATTTAAAGAACAAATATTTTTCTCAAAGACGTGATTTGGAGCTTAAAATCAGCTCTAAATCGAGCTGAAACTTACTTCAAATGCTTAATAAAGACAGCAGTAAGAATATTTTAACTTGTTTTTAATCTGAATCTGCATTTTGTAGAGATTTTGTACAAATTTAAAAACAGATTGAGATATTCCCAGTTCACAGGCAGATTGTTTTTCAGTTTTTAAGAGAAACGTATAATACGCCATTTTAGCTTTGACTCATTTCCAAATAAGTCCCATCCAAGGCATCTTACTTTTGGTTTGGTTATATATCTCATCAGGGCAGCTTAGGGAGCAGAGAAACCAGTCCACCTACTAGCTCTACAGTTGTTTTTTTATAACTCAACCTAACCTTTGACCTCAGGAGAAGCGTTTGGGGATCAGCAGCGTATGACATATAAACTGTGACAGGATTTCCCACGGTGCAGCTATGAGCTAATGTTACTGACCATCATCAGAGCCAGATGTTTTTTCGTTGACAGCGTCCTCTGGGATGTATGAAAATAGAAGAGTATGGATGTCAAAGACTTCCTCATATATGGGAATGAATTGTACCCATCACTGTGATTTCCTTAGATATTCTGTATTCCATATAAATAAGCTGTTTCTGATTATGGGATACTTTCCATCGGAATATTTTACAGTTGTGTTTTAAATCCTCTGCTGAATAAACATTTCATGATACATTTACTGAAATGCAACACAAGAAAATAATAATTTAAACTGTATTTATGCCATACAAAAATCACTTTACTCATATTTTTTGTCTCCATCTGCTCCACAGATCTTCCACGATGTTGCGTACAAGGCCAAAGACAGGAATGACCTGGTGGCAGGCATCGATGAGTTTCTGGACCAGGTGACAGTGTTACCTCCTGGAGAGTGGGACCCCTCCATCAGAATAGAGCCTCCCAAAAATGTGCCCTCTCAGGTAAACCCCCTATTTATGTACGAAAAAGAATCCCATTTCTGTACATATTTATTTATTTATTAGTTGTAACCCAAGGTAATTGGGAAGATTGGTTCCATTGTTGAAGGAATACTCTAAAAAAGCTCACCCATTAAACTAAAGTATTTGAGAAACTGTGTAGAGTTTGAGAGTCTCTGTGTAGATTACCGCTTTTGTGAGTCCCCTCTGCTTCTGGCTGCCTGCTGAGAAATTTTTAAACATCTGCGTTCTCCTCTAATTTCAACTGCATTGTACTCTGTGCTTTGATGCTTCCCCCCAGGGTTCTGCTCTCAATCCTCTCCAAAATATTAGTTATTTTTCTTCCATTAGTTATTTTGGTCTACTTTAAAAAGCGATCCACCATCTTGTTTGAGAGAGAAATGTTGTTGTCTAACAGGAAGCTGCTGCAGATGATTAAAAAAGTCTTTTTTTTCCTTTTCGTCTTTGTCATTAAGCTCCTGGGGTGAATTAATGACACACCACTGTGCAATTAGATTGTTATGCTGATGAACTCTTTGTCAGAAAAGGCTAGATTCACGCACAAGAGATCATTCATTTGGGATTGAAGCTTGGTTAAAAGTACGGTGGAATAACTACCATCTGGTGCCTCAGTGGAGATTTAAGTTGCCACGCACGCTTTTTATTGTTCTTTTGATGATGGCCAGTAACAGACAGTTGACTGACAGTGATCTGACCCACACAGGAAAAGCGGAAGATTCCCCCTGTTCCCAATGGAGTGACAGATCTTGGAGAGTCGGAGGAACATGGAGGGCACGGTGGCCCTGAGCTCCAGCGCACTGGGAGGTTAGTGCGAGAGAGAAACAGGATGATTTATGATGTACAGCCTTGAGCTCTCTAGGCTTGTCTTTGTCCCCGTCTTCCTGTCGCCCGTTAGCTGCCTCACTGTCCCCAAACTGTAAATTTAGCTCTCTTAAGAGGCAGACTACTCTACTGGCCCATTATCATTCCTCACACTTCAACTCCACAAAGACCTTTTGTTTGAGAGACATCCCAGCACTCTGTCCCACACATAAAGCCACATTCTTCAATATTGCACCATCGTTGCATTATTTAACGAAACCTTGCCTCACACAACCAATGCACTCTGCTCATTACATTCACTCAGTTGTGGAAAGTAACCAAGTACATTTACTCAGTAGTGTAAATGTGTAAATGTTGAGATACTATAGTTTATTTAAGTACTTCCATTGTATACTTCTTTATACTTCTACTCGGTTAGTGATTAAGTTAGGAGGTATGGCCCAATGGGAGGGTTAGGGTAACCCCCCCATGGGTCTGAAGGCATATTTCCAGCAGCACACACATGACTGAATGATCCTAGACATACAATAGGGATATTATAGGAATAGATGACTTTGATCATGAAGGTCTATGTAGTATATAGATTTGAGATGAAACTGACGGATGGGTGACACTGAGAGAAAAAGTCACAATCACAAATGCGTCTCCTACTTCAGCACCAAGGACAGCGTCATGGATTTATCAATACGCAGCATGTTTAGGCTACTGACATGCTCAGCACTTTGGTCAACTTTGGTTGTTTTAAAGTGCTTAACAAGTAAAGTTGGATTGGATTCCTTAGCTTCTAACTTGCACAGATAATGGATGAGTCAGACTAGACTAACATATTCAACTGCACTCTCTCTCTGCTACTGATGAAAAATGGAGCCAGATGAAAACATCAGTTCTGTGTGGAGCGATGAGGAGACTGGAACATTCTTCAATTGTAATACATAAAAACAAACATTAATTGCCGTCATGTTCTCCACCGTTGGAGATCTGACTGGCACTCTTCTTCTGCAACAGCACTAGGATGAAGAATTTCTTACTCTCACCAACAACAACTTTGTCCCTAAGATTAAACATGAAAAAATATCTTGTTGTCATCACCCAGAAATCACCTAAAGACATCCAGAAGATTGTTGATGACAGTGCAGTGTGCAGGGGTGTTATAGTAGATCTGGATGGTTTAATATCAGCGTAGTGAGTGATATGCGGTATGCTGCGGTATGCTGCAGCTCTTATCCCAGCTAGGATTGGCTGCGAGCCCAGTCACAGCCATCAAACAGACCCCCACTCCCCCCCTGACACCCCCTATAACTCCCCTTCTCCACCACCACCACCACCACCTCCCGGGACATGGCATCACTGCCTACTGCTCAGACTGAAATAAGCATAACGTCCCGCCCACTGTTGCCATAGCAACCACCTCCAGCTAGTTCACAGCCCTCCCAGCTTGCATGCTGCAGCAGAAGAGCCTGCGAGTCATTCAAAGACAGAGGCATGAGTCGACAAATGTACACACACATACACCTACATGGATATAAATACACGTAACACAGAAGTAGGCTCAGTGTGGGGGTACATTTTGCCCATTTTAAATATTTTGGCTTGTGGTTCACATGAGTAACACTGTAAATACACTGAAGACTGCAGAGCTAGTACTCGTATTAGTCCTTTGCTTAGCTGGAACATTTGTTCAGCACTGGAGAGAAGTAGAGTTTTATTTTAAGGAATAATTCTACATGAAGCTGGACCAAGGAGGCAGTGAGCTTGGTTGTAGCTTCATATTAAAGACAGAAAGCTGTGTGAAATGAACATGGTGTATCTCTTTTGTTTAACGCTTACAAAAATTGTAATCCTAAAATGATTCTCTAGGGATTCAGGCATCTGTTAAAAAGTGAAATCATGTCAAATTCATGTCTGAGGTTTGGAGGTTCCCATATTACCACTGATTAACAAAACTGGTATAAATTTATGAACCCAGAAATGATCAAACAGCTCTGTATTGAAATGCTTCTGTTTATGAAATTCTCTTTTCACCACAGGATATTTGGCGGGTTAATCTTGGACATCAAGAGAAAGGCTCCTCACTACCTTTCCGACTACACCGATGCCATCAGTCTGCAGTGTCTGGCCTCATTCCTCTTCCTCTACTGCGCCTGCATGTCACCTGTCATCACCTTTGGAGGACTCCTGGGCGAGGCAACAGAGGGGCGCGTGGTAAGAAGCAACATCTTTATTGCTCCAAAGAGACTCTATGCTCACACCTAAAAGCTTAGTCTTAACCTGCAATAACGGAAAACAAGTTGTGAAGACAGCAATGACATATTTTAAGCTGATATGGTGTTAACTTGTTAACAATCCACTACAATACAGAGCAACATTAGCATTCTTTTGGAGTCATTTTTTTTTTTTACCAATATTCACTTTCTTTTGGTTCTGTTTTTGGTCCTGAGTGAAATATCTGTCTCTTTAGCTGCTAAATGCTCCACTATGTTCACCAGCTAGTCACTAAATGTGAAAACAGTTGGTTTTCAGAGCTTTTTCACTGAAAACAGCAGCTTCAAAACAACTTACACATCTTATTCAAAGGCACCTTAAAACTAGTAGCTGAGTAAAGGAAATGTTCACTCTCCCGTGAATTTCTAATGTTGCTCCACTTTCCATTCACTTTCATTGACGGCTGTTATAGTTCAATAAGATTGTGCTGTGTTTTTATCTATGCTTGCGGTGTGGCTCAAGGGATAGCAATGTCAATGTTGGTTGATTTGTCCACCACATTAGTCCAGGCAGAAATATCTATTGAATGGACTGCTGTGAGATTATGTACAGACATTCAGGGCCCTGTCTGACCTGATCACCATCACCATTAGGTTTGTTGTTGTTTGTTTTGAGTGATGTCTAGACAAATGAAGTGAACCACACAACATACCATTGAGTAAGATTATGTTTTCTATATATATTCCCAAAAATGGCACTAAATCTGGAGGTACCAGTTTCATTTTGGCTCTATACCTAAATATCAGCATCATATCAGCATGTTAGCATTGTCATGGTTAGCATTTAGTTCAAAGCACTGCTGTGTTTAAGCACAGCCTCACAGAGCTGATAGCATGGCTGTAATGGAGTTCAGCAGTTGAGTCTGAGCATTATTTCCTGTGTTTCCAGAGTGCTATTGAGTCCCTGTTTGGGGCCTCCATGACTGGGATAGCCTACTCTCTTTTTGCCGGTCAGCCCCTCACCATCCTGGGCAGCACGGGGCCTGTTCTTGTCTTTGAGAAAATCCTCTTCAAGTTCTGCAAGTAGGTTATTTTTTTGTTTTTTGTTATAGTTGAATATTTCCGTGTTAATGGGGGATTTGCGTGTATGTAATTGCTTATCCCTTCATTCCTGTGTGTGTGTATGTGTGTGTGTGTTCTGGCTCTCTCAGGGAGTATGGCCTCTCCTACCTCTCCCTGAGGGCCTGTATTGGCCTGTGGACGGCCTTCTTCTGTCTGCTGCTGGTGGCCACTGATGCCAGCTCGCTCGTCTGTTACATTACACGCTTCACTGAGGAAGCTTTTGCTGCGCTGATCTGCATCATCTTCATCTACGAGGCCCTGGAGAAGCTGCTCCACCTGGGGGTGCACTACCCCATCAATAAAAACAACAACCTTCAGAAACTCACACAGTACTCGTAAGTGCTCCTTTATTTTATTTTTTTGTTGCTTCATAACAATTTTCTGTTTTGCACTGTTGGATAAAGGCAAGTTAAACATGTAATTTAAAGATACATTTAGAATATCTTCACTGTTTTCTGACATTTTATAAAGGTTTTCAAACTGAGGGAGAGTTAAACACGGCACACAGGGAAAGACATGAGGCATGAGCTGGAATTAGCATATTTGGAGTCATAACTCATCTGAATCACTCAATCTGATCACACTGACATGATACACATATTTTTAGATTTAATGTGACTTACACTTCCGGAGGATATCATTATCTTCGATGTCAGTCTTGAATGAACGTCTATAAATCCACTCAGAAATCATAACAAAAAGACGCTCTTTATAACTTCAGAACCTGAAAATCACCATATTTTTAGGTTTTCTTCAGTGTGAAAGTAACCCAGTGACAGCTGTCTGTTCATCCTTGGGTACATTGCAAACAGGAACAGCTAATGGCTATGTGGAACAACATTGCATCCAGTTTATATTTTAAATGTATTGACTTAGCTGTTCCTTTCAGCATTAGAAAAAAATAATTACTCCTCAAATCTGGTAGCTTATACTTTCACAAATATATAAATGTAGTTTCTTCATTCTAGGTATTATTGTAAGATGACAATAAAGCAGGTCAAGTATAAACAAATTGAGAAGTTCTTGGCTCCTGAGGTCCACTTTAACCCTTTTAATCATTCTGTACTGATGTTGTCATTGTTGTTACATGCTGCCACGTACAGTGTATCCAACTTAGCACATTTGCACACACGCGCTCAAGTGTTTCGCTGCATCATCAGACGGCAGATGGTGCAGTGGTATAGTAGACACACTGTCCAGTTTTCCCGTAATGGGTTTTGTGTTATGGTGAATAATCCCATGTTGAGTGTGAGTTAGGAGCATCATACATTATCCCGCTACATACTGTAATCTGGCTAGTGGCTGTGTCCAGCCAAGAGCTCCTCCTGTGGTTTTCTATTCTGATGTAGTGGACAGCAGGGGATGCTGACATTTAGTTTTGTAAAATGCCAGCAGAAAAAGTCATTATGTTGATGGCTGAACATCGCAGAAATACAGTGTATCTATATATATAATTTTAAATTTTAAAGAACTCAAATTGCTAGGGCAAAATTAGTCTTTATAATCAGTGTACTTTTATTTTTGATAAATATATTAACCTTGTTCTGTCATTATTTAAGATAACTAAATAAAAATCTTCTCCGTAGGTGTGCGTGTGTGGAGCCCCGGGACCCCAGCAATGAGACCCTGCAGTACTGGGAGGAGAGAAACATCACAGCCTCCCAGGTCAACTGGACCATGCTGGAGGTCAACGTAAGGAATCCTTGACATTTGGAGTAAATTATAGAACAAATAGTGGGTTAAAATACGGGTTATCGGTGGCCTAGACATTCTTAGATGAAACAGACTCTTGGGTTCAAGTAGACTTCTAATGATGGATAAAGAAGATCTGGATCTGTAAGCAGTTAAGAAATAGCAGTCAAAGTGTGATCCGTCCCGAGTCGAGGAGAGAGGAGGCTAACACAGACAGAAATAGCACATCTGATCACAGTTGCCAGCCTACAAACTTAACCCACAAACAAAATACCCTTGAAAGTTGGGGGTATTTCTCACAGTCTCTGGCGCCGTGTTGTGTCTCACTTAGCCCACACTTTGCTTTATCAAGAAGCGTCATAAGTCTAGGCGGGGATTAAGAACGTGTGGGTAGGATTTCACAGGATTTAGCCGTGCAGAATGAGCACGGAGATGCAGCGTGAAGAGTGGATTCTCTCACTGGCAGACACAGATCAGTCATGCGGCGTGCTGCGTCACTCCCACACATGTTTGTTAGACGTATAGCAGCAACTAGTTTTGGGGGGCAGAGTCTATGTAGGCCATTTAGATTGTATGTGTATGGATGAATGAAGCACTGTATAGATATTTAAAGCATAGATTATTGAAGAAGTCAATAGTGAATGTACCAGATTGTTGGTATTGAGACTTCACTAATTCACCACCGACATCCATCATCATTATCTCCACTGCCACACTAATCATTTTTATTGGCCTCATTATCCCCGTCATCATCCTGAATAATATCACCACCATCATCATCATCATCATCATCATCATCATCATCATCACCGTGTCCTCTGGTGCCAGTAGGAGTGCGAGATGTTTCACGGGGAGTTTGAGGGCAGCGCCTGTGGCCCCCACGGCCCCTACATCCCCGACGTCCTCTTCTGGTGCGTGGTCCTCTTCTTCTCCACCGTCTTCATGTCCGCCTTCCTCAAGGAGTTCAAGACGAGCCGCTACTTCCCCACCAAGGCACGTATCACATTATAGTCATCCCTGAATAATGCACAAACACTTCTTTGTATCAATTTGGGGGCACATTTAAAAGCACACACACTTTCAGAGTTCCTGTCTGACACTGTCTAAAAGTGTATTGAAGCTGCAAAATTAAATCTGCTTCATTAATTTTACAGTCATCCATTTACTTCTCATTTAGCCAAGGGACTGAAATTACACTGAAATTGGTTTCTATGCCCTAACTCTGCCTCTGTCTGTGTCCTTTTAGATTGTGCTGCCATCTATTGGTTGTTTAATGACACAGCAAAAATCCTGCAGTCTGTGTGGCCCTTCTATGTGTGCATTTTCTATGATTTATCATTGAGATGACACTCATGAGCGTAATATGTGGCGTGATGCTGACATGCCAATCTATAGTGTACCTGCGCCACCTTGTGGATGTTTCAATGTAGACTGCTGTTATCAGAAGTCAAAGAAAAGATCTGCACATTGTACTGGAAAGCTGTTGTTGTCAGTTCCCAATAGATTTAATTTAACAGAGCAATATTTCAGTCTAAAAGAGATCTTTGTCGGACATTCAATATTATTAAGCATAAAGAGCGACATGTCTGCTTGAGTCAGTCAGTCTGGTCTCAGACTGGACCAATCAGAGCAGAGCCGGATGACTGTCTGATACTCTCATAAGATAGGGAAGGGGAAAACAGGAAAAAGCCTTAAGAAAAATACTATAAAGAACAAATTATATCTAATATATGGAGTCAAATGCAATACATACTCAAAAAGGTTTAAATGACGAAGGCAAATACAAACTAGCAATGAGCTGACATTTGTATTAATAACCATGACAAAAGAAAACTGGGGATTAATATTCACATTAAATCTCTAAAAGATTTAAGCTGGGATTCATCAGTACAGAGAGCACATCTTGTGTCTGACTTTTGCTTTCAGTTTGTTTTGTGATCCAGCAGCTTTAGAAGTGGACTGATGTCTGATAAGTGCGTCTCTTTGTTCCCTCCAGGTGCGGGGCATCATCAGTGACTTTGCCGTCTTCATCACCATCCTCACTATGGTCTTTGTAGATTATGCCTTGGGGATCCCCTCACCTAAATTACAGGTCCCCAGCAAGTTCAAAGTAAGTCCACATGAAAGCCTCCACTATAAAAAGCTGCTGTATGCACCTGTTTTTTTATATATATATATATATATATATATATATATATATATATATCTTTTACTTAAGATCTTGAAATTAAAAAAGAAATAGGCAATAAGAGTGTGCTCAATGCCAGGCAATGATCATGTTAATTTACTTTTCGCTCCACGCAGCCAACCAGGGATGATCGTGGCTGGCTTATAAACCCTGTGGGACCCAACCCCTGGTGGACCACCATCATCACCTTCCTCCCTGCTCTGCTCTGCACCATCCTCATCTTCATGGACCAACAGATCACAGCCGTTATTATTAACAGGAAGGAGCACAAACTGAAGGTATTTCAAAACGTCAAAAATTAAGAATCCAGCTCACAAAAATAACCAAATGAACATATCTCAGAGAATTGGTTATATTTGTATTTATTGCCTACAACAAATTAAATAATGTCCACAATGACTGTGACAAGTCCTTTTCCCTCTTCTTCTCAATCTCCAGAAAGGCTGTGGCTACCACCTGGACCTGTTTGTGGTGGGGGTAATGCTGGGCGTGTGCTCGGTGATGGGACTGCCGTGGTTCGTGGCAGCCACTGTGCTCTCCATCTCCCACGTGAACAGCCTGAAGCTGGAGTCTGAGTGCTCGGCCCCTGGAGAGCAGCCCAAGTTCCTGGGCATCCGAGAGCAGCGCTTCACCGGCCTCATGATCTTCACCCTGATGGGCTGCTCCGTCTTCATGACCTCTGTGCTGAAGGTCAGGGGATGAACGCAATAATATACAGGACTGTTGCATTAGTTTTAGCTTGGTGGACCCTAATACACTGGCATCTCAAGTCTTTTTATTTTCTTTCCTCCTTTAGGTCATCTTTGGACTTTTCTGTTGTCTTTTTAGTTCATTTTGTCAGTTTGTTTTCAAGAGTATATATGTAAACAATAGAATTACACACAAATCTGATCCTGAATCTCTATCTGTCTCCAGTTTATCCCGATGCCTGTGCTGTATGGAGTCTTTCTGTACATGGGAGCTTCCTCACTCAGAGGCATTCAGGTGAGCTCAGATTCTGCCTGCTGGTATTTGATTCCTGCTGAGTCAGCCAGAAATAATGCACGATGAGCGCTCAAATGGATCGCCTGTTTGTGTCTGTGCAGTTCTTCGACCGTCTCAGGCTGTTCAGCATGCCGGCCAAACATCAGCCAGACTTCATCTACCTTCGTCACGTCCCACTGAGGAAGGTGCACCTCTTCACCATCGTCCAGCTGAGCTGCTTGATCCTGCTATGGGTCATCAAGACCTCCAAGGCCGCCATCGTCTTCCCCATGATGGTAACTGGAGTGTGTTTGTGTATGAATTATATACTTGTGTGCTTGCATATGATTGGTTGATGTTCGCCTGTTTGTGCTGCGTCAGGTCTTGGCCCTGGTGTTCATTCGTAAGCTGCTGGACTTCATGTTCACCAAGAGAGAGCTGAGCTGGCTGGATGACCTGATGCCAGAGTGGAAGAAGAAGAAACTGGAAGATGCTGAACAAGAGGTGCAGTAATAGACTGAGCGAATACCCACTCTGATGACTCTATAGTTCCACCACTGCAGCAGCAGAGCTTCTATCCATGCAGTGTTTTAGATTTAATCTTTTGTCTCTTTCTCCAGGAGGAGCACAGTATTATTGCAGAGGAAGAAGGCATTGTACAAGTGCCAATGGAGGAAAACTTAAAGTAAGTCATTCTGCATGTTAGGTGTCCAAGCTTTCTACTAAATAATTGTGTAAGTGGTGGCATTTGAGAAGTATTCATATCCTTTACTTAATTAAAGTAGGAAGACCACAGTGTAAAAATATAGAAGTCCTGCATTAGGACACAGTTAAAGAAATAGTCAAGAAACAGTCCAGCACATAAATTAAAGTTGCTGCTGGTAGGTGGATTTTGTTACCTTTCAGAGGGCTAGCTGTTTCCCCCTGTTTCCAGTCTTTATGCTAAACTAAGCTAACATTCTCCTGGCTGTAACTTCATATTTACCATACAGTGTGGTATCAATCTTCTTATATAACTCTGGGCAAGAAAGCAAATAAACATCTCTCTGTAAATGTTGAACTGGTGTTCCTAGCTCCTGTAGTTATCAGTCTGGCTTGCTTCTTCCTACCTTTTATCTTCAAGTATGCTTTTACCTGAGGAGAAATCTTTACATGGCAAGTGAAATCATATTTATTTTGGCCTTCTCTGTGTGTTTCTGAAGGAGTGACCCAGCCACAGTGAACATCACCGATGAAATGTCCAAAGGATCTTTCGGGAATGTGTGGAAGAGTGTCAACCCTACTGAGACCACTAAGAAGGAACCAAGCGCTAAAAGGTTAGCCTATCAACCCACATTACTCTCAGATATCCAGATCAGTACTTCTAATACATGTGAGGGCTTGAATGTCAAATATTGCAGGGGTGTTTTTGCAGGGTCAAAAGATTGTTTATTCCAAGGGGAAAATGGTGTGTCTGGGTGTTAAAGCAAACAGTGGCAAGTGTTTATTATTGAGAAGTTATGGAACATTTACTTTATATTTTTCCAGGAAACTGAGGAACTAGTGTGTTTAGATAAAAGAGGTTTATTCAAGAGCAGCCCTGCCCTTGCAGATTTCCCACGGAGTAGACTAACATAGTGTCCTGCCTGCCTCTCTCATTCCATCCCACCCCTAAGCTCCCCTTCCTAACCTCTCAGAAGCTGATATCCCAAAGGTAAGTTGTTCCCAGTCCCTGTCAGCATGGAGAGTCTTGTCTCGTGTTTACTGCTGATGACTGTTGATTGTTGCATGATGAGAACGGTGTCGGTCTGTGCTGCGGGCGATGATTCGGTGACCAATAAATCGAGACGTAACGCAGTAATTAATGGGTGTTGCTGGATTGACGACACAGCATGGCCTGTGTGTGCATGTTACTTCAAGGGCACATTTTATGATGTCCTTCGCATGTTGTAAAAGTTGTAAACTAATAGCACTATATGTCAATCAGTAGTAGAACTTTTGTATATTTCAATGTCACAAGATATTAAAGTGTTTGGGCATAATGCCATTAAGCTTTATGAGACATATTTGCATGCTGGATTGATTGATTAATTGCATCTGCACTCTGCACTTCCCTCTACAGAAAAATGAACCTCAATGCATTTTCTCTTTTAACATTTTGCTTGGTCTAATTGTTTTTTTTTTTCCTGCTGTGCAGTTGTTCCAGTGGCAGCGAAAAGCGACACAAGCGCCGGAAGCATGAGAAGAGCTTGGACAGGGAGACAAGTTTGTGATGACACATACTGGTGGTGCCACTGTGCTGTCAATCAGTAGATCAAAAAATATAAAAAAACAAAAGACACAAAAAACAATACCGTGCCACACTCAACCACCTTTGTACTGTGCTACACTGTGTTTTTGTCATGTAAGTCTGTGTGCAAGTTGTGTAAAACAAAGAATAATTTGTTAGAAACAGTATTAACACGAGGAACCGAGACACATTTGTGTTCTTTTTCTATGTATATCTATGTTTTGGTGATACCAGCAACAGAAGGAAGCCAGAATTATATGACACCTACAGTAACTGCTGTGTCAATGGGCCAATTAAGTAAAAATTTTAAACATTTTTAAATATTCTTTATTTGTATTTTGTATGTTTTTATATTTTTCCAATAACAACAATTGCGAGTTGTCCTTTTAAAAACCTGCCACATCAAACTGCAAACGTGTGGATTTGTGTGCAGTATTTAATGCCGCTATTTACTTGATGCACCACACAATAGAAAACCTAAAGAGTAGATAATTGCCAATAGTAATCTATTTCACTGGTATCTTAAAGAGTTGGCTCTATAGCGAATCTAGTAATTTTTTGAAAGTATTAATTATACATTTTCTATATTCTGTATATCTAAATGTTTTTGTGACAGTGACAGCTCATATCACTCCGGAGTCTTCTCCATTGCAATTTTACAAATTAATTTCTCTCTTCCAGTGAAGCATTTCCCCAAACGAGTTAAAGGAGTAGTTTGACATTCTGGGAAATACACTTATGCCTTTTCTTGCCGAGAGTTAGACAAGAAGATCGATACCACTCTCATGCCTGTAAGCTACAGCCAGCAGCCAGCTAGCTTAGCTTAGCACAAAGACTAAAAATGGTGAAATGGCTAAAGTACCAAAACCTGCCGAAAGCTCACTAATTAACACTTTTTATCTAGTTTGTATAACACAGAATTATAAGAACAGCTAGCGATAGATAGCTATCAGTCCTCTCATCTAACTCCTGGCAAGAAAGTGAATAAGCACATTTCCCAGAATACCCTATTCCTTTGACGGCAGTAAACTTTCGGGGGCAGCTTATTGGAAATTTTCCTTTTAAAGCTAGCATGGCGGCATAGTTGGGGGACTTTCAGTATCTTCGGCTACATGGCCTTGGCTTTTTAAAAACATTCGTCAAATTTGCAAATGCTGAACTTTAGGGTGACTGTACAGAAAGCTTTATGTTTTCCAGGTTCATACTCTTCGTCATCTTGTCAGTAAGTGTCATCCATGGACATCTGATCTCCTATCCAAATGACCCTCAATGTGTTAGCATCTGAAGCTAATTGTTTTTAAAAAAAAAAACACCTGCATGACGACTTGCCTCGCTGCAGGACCATGGTTACTTCTAGAGATGCAATAAATCCCTTTTTCTGGGAAGGGCAACATGTAATAAACGGTAAAGAGTCTTAACAGTGTATAATACATAGTATATTTTATTCATGTAAAATGTTACTAATATATTACTAACATGAATTCAGTGTTGAAGGCAGGTTTTTGTTGTAGATGTTCTTTTCCCATTGTCTAATTGATGGTTCTTAGTTGGTTAGAGAAACTAATAATAGGTCAAAATTATATCAATATCAAATGTTTTGACCACTTCTGTGTGGAACTCTGCCTTAAATTTGGTAGTGATAGCTGTACACTTTCTGTTTAATAATTTAAGTCACCTGTATAGAAAACTATCAGTTCGGATCTGTTGTTATATTGTGATTTGTTTCACGAGAACGAGAGAGTGAGTGACTGAGAGCGTAAATAAAGATGTTAAACAAACTCCGCTTGAAGTGATGTGGTACTTTATTGATCCCGATACTTGCTCTTGTCCACGGGCAGGTCAGAGGTCAGCCAGGGTTCTAACATAGGATAGTCCATTCTCGCTGTATACTACTGTACCATCATGTATTCCCCAGAGTTATTCTATACAACTTTCCCACTCCAGTGCTTGTAGTTTCGAGTGGTTGCTGGCTCCCGTGTCTCCACCTTTGACCTCAGGAGCTCCGTGTCTTTGGCCTCATGGTAGAAAAGAGCAGAGAGCACCTGCACCCTCAGGCTGAAGCTCCTCTAGTTTCCGTATGGCAGAGTTACAGGATACAGGCCTGTATCTCCGACCCATGATGCTCTCAGAGGGACCACTATCCTTGTTTAAAATGTTTAAATGCATAAATCAGAAACAGTAGGAGGTTCTTCCTCCAGGCCTGTTTTGATTTGTGTTGTGTTTTTTTTCCTGATTCCTGATTCCATGACATGACTTGGATTACATGAGATGGCTGCTAAGACAAGATAAGGGTAGCATATAAGTTTGCATTTGGAGTGATTACACAACCCTGATAACTTTCAGCATACTACATATTTTCCATCTTTTTCTAACATAACAAGCCAAAAATCTCATCCACTGTCTGTGTCCGCCGTGTGGAGCAACTTATTTGTCTGGAAGTTCTTTATTTGTGGTTTTACTTCAGTAAAAGGTCAGAAAATGCAGGAAAGTAATTACATTTAATGAAGAACTACCTACTGTTAGTACAAACTATAAGTACTAAGGCCTTGGGGAGTGCTGAAATTGTATGTACTTTTGCATTTTACTTAAATTTTGTTTTTAAGGTTTTCTGTTATAAAATGTATTTTTGTGAATGTAAATGTTGCTAAGATAATAAACAGCTATATAATATAATATTGCTTTTTTTTCTGAATTGCAGACAATAAAAAACAAACAGCACATCTTTGTGTGGTAAATTAAAATGAAATGTTACAAGTATATTGGCAAAGTCTTTCAAATAGGTAACAGCTCCAAAACAACTGTATGGTCCACAGAAAGCAGTTAATTTCTTATTATCTGCAGATAATGTTTTGCTTGTGGAGAAGTTTGAAACGGATATCTCGAGGTTTATTTGTAATCAAGTGTCTGGAAGATAAGGGACAAACTTTATTCCATTGGATATTTATGGTGTCTCAGTGTTAACCTTAAATAACATCAACACACATCTAGGAATTGCATCAATTACAATATCAAATTCTGTTGGGGTGACAGGGATATTAGAAATAGAAGACTCGAGAGATAGAATAACTATCAAAAAATATTATTGTTAAACCAATTTGGGGTAAAAAAAATGATTTGCTTTTGAATTGTATGTCACAGTTATTCCATATGAGATATTTATGTGGAGAAAAACAGACATTCAGTAGACATATTCAATCACACAGACACTTCCTAATCAATATTTTGATTATATATATTTTTAGCACCAATAATGAACTGTCACTAACTGACTGTTAAATCAATTATTTGGTAGGTGTGATGGTGAAGACATAAACATGACTTATAAATATGCTTCAAGTCCATTAAAAGACACAGGAGGAAATCTTTGCACTAATGAGACACAAACATGGAAATGTGATTTAAATATATTCACCCAGTACAGATAAATGCAAAGACTTGAACACAGCAAGGCTACACAAAGTTAATCAACCTTCAACCATATAGTGTGGGGAAATGGCATTAATTTTATATAGTGAACCAATTTATTCTTAATTTATTGTCACTGGATAATACAAATAATCAGCTGATCAAATATCCACTGAAGTACAAAGTACTACTATTAGTCACTATTACTCATATTTAATTATAATTATTATTTTTGATTAAAACCATGTGTAATCATTCAGTCATTAAAACTGACATTGTGCAGTTTATCTTAATTACTAACAATTAGTTGTTGTGTGTTTTCCTCTGACAGGAATGTTGATGAAGACATGAAGACACACAGATCATAACCACCATAAGTCCACTGGTTTAAAGATGATGTAACTCAACGTGATGTTTGTTTATTATGTTTTTACAGAAAAAAAAAGACTGGAGGATTTTAAAGGAGTAAATCTGTCACAACAGAGAGTTTTGTTGCACTGGAGGACATTTAGTCAAGTAAAAGTACATGTTTAGAGGAATTTAATTCCACATTTTCTCTCAGGATTAACAAGTCTTGATGTATTTTATTGTGAAAGTCTTTCAGGAAGTAGTGACTGAACTTCTTCCCTTGTTGATCACTACTGGTCTCTGCAGCAGCTTCTGTGTCTAAAGACTAAAAACTGAATATCTCTTCCTGGGCTACTAGAATCTATCGAAGACCAGACTCCCCTTAACGTCAACCTCAATCTGAACCTGAACCTGAACCTGAACCTGAACCTGAATCTAGCTGTGTGTGACCAGTCAAAGTCTGAAACTATTCTGTGTAAACATGAATCCCCCCTGGTCCTGAACACAGGTGAGCTCTTACTAACAATCATGTTTGAACTGCAGAAGTCCTGATCAAAGTTTTTGATCTTATTGACCTAAACAACTCACGCTACAACACATCTCTAGTTTGAATCAAGTATTGATCAAGTATGAAAGTAAAAGTAGTCATTGTGCAGGAAAATGTCAGTGTTTTATTTTTAAATCTGGTGTTTTTGGATTCATATTACTGCTGCATCAATGTGTCTGTTGCATTTTACTGCTGTAGATGTTTAAGGTTGAGCTCATTTTAACTACTTTACATACTGTTGCATGCATAAAGGAACTCTTCACCCTTTAAAGCTGGTATGTTGTACTTTATATTGTACCTGCCATGTTTGGTTATTTGTATTTTTAGCTCTGTTTCTATTTTTTATCTCCTATATACAGAGTAGATTTTCCTCTGTGATAAAATGCTGAAACCAATGAACTCTGAACCTTCTTTTTTTTTCTTAAAATAATCTCTGAGCTGCAGGTGCCTAAAGATAAATGCTGTTTCCCCCAAATCATATTCATTATTTGTCCCATATAGTGATTACATTCCCAATGTTTAAACCTTTACTAGCATCGACCCCGGGTTTAAATTTAGAATTTTAAAAAATTAAACTCCTTTTATAAATAATAAATGATGTTTTGTTTTAACTGTACACTTTTCTCATGCAGGACCAGGCTGTTCAGCATCTTATATCATCATCTAAACTTTAAAAATAATTATTTTATTTGGTTGTTTTCACAGAAATTAAGGAAATTCTGGGTCACTGGACCTTCAGGCTCGTCTAACCCAGATCCCACGGCCCCCGGGACACTCCCATGCTGATGTTACCATCTTGCAGTATCATGTCTGTCCTCCTGCCTCCACTAAAACACATCAATGGTGCATCATACCATCAACCTTTGTTGAATTGTGCTGGATGTGAACTTTAAAGCCTTTATTTCTTCAGTTTATGTTGTGCTTACATGGTGCATTTTTACTAAATACTAAATATGTGCTTTATACATCCACAATGCACAGAGAGGAGGAGTAACAGGGGCTTCATTAGGGGACCCTACTTTGTTTTTCATCACTTTAACACATTGCATTTGTATTAACATGGCTCTTTTCTTTCTCTGGGGCCAAAATTATGTCTGTTCTTTTGGCTTGAAGAAGCTGTATTTTACTTATAATGGATCAGATAATGAATAGTGAGATGAAAACATGCTTCCAAATATTTTTGTTTTCCCATTTGCCCACTTTATTATTCCCAATACCCCCCCAGTGTACCAATGACTCTCCACCAGCGAACAGACTCTCTTCCTGACTTCGCTCCAGTCAGCGAACTGACGCGATGACGCATCCGCGGCGGCTGAAAACGTTCGCGCTCATCCGGATACATGAACCTGCTTCATGGAGACATGAGGAGGACGAGAGGAAGAAGGAGAGAGACTGGACGAAAAGAAGACGAAGAACTGGAGTTTGTTGTATGTTATAAGGTCAGTGGGAAACAAACAAACAAAAAAACAATCGGTCAAATTCACTCGAGTTACACGAGGTGACGATGAGAGATTATTGTGAGAAGGAACGTGGTGTTTTAAACTGTTGTTGTTGTTGTTGTTGTTTTCCTGTTGTTGTTGTCAGAGGAAATCAACGCCACCTGTTGATGAGCATTCAGTGAAAGCGACAAGCGAACAGCCTCTCGAACAACAAAGACTAACATGTTTTTTTTTTTTGTATTTTTTTAGTTGTAGTTTTATAATAATGGATTCATTCTGGACCATATGACACAACTACATGTTGCTAGGTAATAAATGAAGAGATCACAACAACGACTGATTGTTATTGATTATTGATTGAATTAACTATTGTCTGTTTGTGATACAATTGGCCACAAAGTCTGATTATTATTCCAATAACTGCAGACAGATTGCAGACTCCAGAATCCAAGGACATAATTTAGTCTTTCCTAAAAACAAACAAACACACTTTCATACAAGTTTAACTGATGAACATTCACCATCAATGTCCAAATGAATTCTGAAGTTGTTGTTGTATTTTGGTTTGATGGTTGGATGGATATTTAGTAATACAGTTTTCCTTCTTTGATTTTTAAAAACACACAGTAACATTTTTCCCTCTGAATAATTTAAATCTTTGAGCATTTGTTGCCGTGGCTGGAAATTATTATTATTATTCCCAAAGACTTTATACTAAATGTATAAATGTAATGTAATGTCCAATTAAAGATTTAATATTAGCTTACTCAGGTTATTTTCTACTTCCTTATTATTATTATTATTATTATTATTGTTATTATTATTTTTAATAATTCAGGCTTCATTTGAAATTGAATTACAAAGAATTTGGAACTGAATGAAAGATAATTTATTAGTGTAAATATCCAGTTTTTATTTAATACACTGAGGTTGGTTTAAATGTGTCCACCATTGTTCAACTGGAAGTTAATGCAACTCAAAACTCTGCTGATTTATTCTGTGTTTGATGGTTGCAGGAGGACTGCTGTTGATACGCTCT